GTGGGGAGGGGGGGGGGGGGGGGGGATGTATGTCGGATTTGTTAAATTCTTCTCAATTGGTCAAACTTCAATTTTAATCACATATTGCTTGGGACATATGACTTTATTAGCTTTTGAACTATACATTCTATACATATTATCAACTTTTATCAAAGTTTTGTCAAAAGTTTTCTGAGTTATCAAAATTTTGAAATCCTTTAGTTAATGGTGATCAAAGTGATAACATAATCAAATGATCAGCCATTAAATTAATTGAAGGAAAATTACTTTGTCAATAAAAACTAGTCAAATTTCTCAAATGTGGATTTATTTTAGTTTTGAAGAAGGAAAGAAATTGAAGGTCTGGATGTCTTGATGATCGCTTATTTATCATTGTAATTTCTCTCTTTGTTATTTTTTTCAAGATCTTTGAGTGATGCATTGAAAAAGGTCGCGTTAGTCATGCTGCTAAAAATGTATTGATTGTAAATTTTCTTTACTTTGTAGAGAAATGCAATATGGCTATCAGTCCCACAATTCGGGGACTGGGATCAAAAGGCTACGTTGCCTGACTACTCGATGGATTTCTCAAAAATCAGACAAACAAGAATGCAAAACAAGGATATTTCAAGAGCCAGTCTTGGAAATGAGAAAGAGCTAACCCCTTCGACCACGAAAAATTCAAATGCAGCCCGCAATGATAATTCCCGCGATTATCACAACTATCATAAAAATCATTCTCCAACAGTACGTCCATGCGCACTACTCTTTCTTACCAACTTCTATAATAATTTTAGTTAGATATATTTGATATGTCGTACTGAACAACACAATAGACTGAATTTTAACTCTCTATACATTGTCTAAAACCCACCATAGCGACGAGAAATTAGGTGTTTTGGTCACTTAACATTGATTTTGACTCTATAATACAGGGAAGGAGGAGTATCTTCAGCTACTTCAATTGTTGTGTGAAGGCCTGAAGCTTGATGGAGCAATTTGGTGCAATTTTTATTTAAATTTGTGTTAATGATGTAATCCGAAAATCCGAAGTCAACGTTGTTTTGACAAGGAAAATTGAAAATTATTGATGCATTTGTGTCTCTTACATAATTAGTGATGCCTTTTGAGGCTTGTTTATAATGGGATACTATGTTATTTACCGTACAAAGCTAAAAATATTTTGTAGAGAGCTACCTTCATAATGGACCATTTTGATTGTTTGGTATGGCATGACCATCCTGGTGGCTAAGAGCCGTTATAATTCCAGTTGATGTGAACTTGTAGAAAATGTTGATGTGGGCTTTTAGGAAAAACCAACATGTTATCCATAGAGTAACATTTATCCGTTAAACGATAGCCCTCACTCCATTTTCATCCCTACTCGATGGGTGAACCTTGTGGTCAAGCTCCTTCTACCTTCACACTCAACTACTCGAGGGTCAATCTCCATCTGGCCCAATAAATTTAGTAGGTCCTAGGATCATTAATCCCATTTTTACAATGCAATGGTTGGTTGTTCACCACAGTAAGGGCTTAACAATCCCAACGTTTAATTCAAAAACACTTTGTCAAATTATTATTTTCTAATAAAAGACTTGTCCATTTCAATGCCGTTTTCATTTCCTAAGTTTCTTTAACCAAGAAAAGAAGAAACCAACAATTTATTAAAGAAAGTATGAGACTAGAAAATATAACCAAAACATTCGAATATACTCCTCAGAGACCCAATAATGTCACACCCATTACATCATATATCTTTCTATTCCATATCGAAAAATATACTCATTTGGTACACTATTGAATCTGCTATTGAGGCTACAAGTTTTACGTAAGTAGTCATCAATTACAAAAGTGCAAGGAAAAATGACATGAAAAACAAGTAGTGAACTTCCTTGACCACAAAATGCCTTATAAACCAAGTTATCCTTCATTGCACTCTGTCCCGTGCCTAAATCCGCATGAAAAGCACAAGAGGAAAAGCTTTTACCACTCGAACTTTCATGCCATATGCACCAGATAATGATGAGCCAATTGTAAGTTCTAAAAAATTAAACTTTTTTGATGATTTGCACGACGTCTTCATCTTCAAGTTCATGCTCCTGGAAATTAAATGGCCAAAAAATGATCACCCAGAAACAAACATGATACGTGCCATGTTCAGGTACGGGGAGCAGGTGCATAGAAGTTGAAATGATGGAAATATTCTGAATCATACAAGTTAATCAATTTACCTTGCCTACCCTCTGGGGCTTGTGCTTCGCGCTCGAACCCCAAACTAATGCACTACATTATTGAATAAAACCACAGGTCATTCGACAACAATCAAAATGATGAAAACTAAAAGCCGTTTCAAGATGTGGATATACCATGGAACCATTTGGATAAACTTTGCAATATGCATGAATTTACAATGCCCCTGTTTGGTATTGATTTAAATCTAGGTCAAAGTCAAATAATCAATATTAACCACATATTTCATAAGTCCCACAACTTTTCAACCACACATTTCAAATATTTTTATTAAAATCTACTAAAAATCTAATTTTAATCACCACTAAACAGGGATAATATAAAAACCTATGAATTTCAATTTGTGCCGAAGTTTTACATATTTGGCTGAATTTAATAAAGTTTTTTATTTCGAATACTTTCTCTTGATCCATCTCTCTCACACTTTCCCAACAGAAATCGATCACTCAAGGATAGTGCTGCGCATAATCATCTGTTTTCTCTATGCACAGATTCAATATGGCACGATATTTGTCCTTATAGCAAAATATGCATTCGTTTGTTCAATGAAGAATGTGGGTTTTTTTTTTTTTTTTAATTTGACAGTTTTTAGACTCGTCCATTCTTCACTAATAATCATTGAAGTTCCAAAGAAGTTTCACTCATTGTATAACAATCTGAGGCTTAAACCTCAATCCCTCCACATGAAAAGCTTTCAAACAATACCTCAAATCCTGCAACCTTTTTAGGTTCGCTTGAATTGGTTGAACCTTTAATTAGAATAGCCTCCGGAGACACAATTTGACTACAAATAAGAACTTCAAAAACAACGAATTTGGGAAGAGGACTTACTACTTAAATTGTTTGAGCATGTCCTTGTGTATCTGGTTGCAGAAGTCCTCAACTGTCGTTGTCTTCGATGACAATATTACGGGATCATTATAGTCTGGATTCATCCCCTTAGGTTTTGTGTATATGCGAGTTAAGTTGAGATATTCCCATATTTTATCCAGCAGACCGTCAAGGTTCCATTCTAGATGAGCACTGAGGAAATTCATCGTGAATTACATTTAATAACTAACCATTAAATAGACAATCACTGAACATGTAGTTACAACATCTCTTAACGACAAAATAAAGAAAACATCAGCACATGATTTAGAGTATACAAGCAATATATGCCTGTTAATGGCTAAAAGTAACATAACTCCAAGTCTCCCACTGTACCATTTTCAAATAGTCAACACTACTAGCAACAAGAGAACAGAGGTAGAATATTAGCATTTGGTTTGAATAGACCAATAATATACTGAATGAGCAAGCATGATACTTGTTGCTAAAAAGGCCGTGAGCCATCATTTTTCATTTCTATTGTAGTTGTGCTGAAAGCTTGACCTGATGAAAATTGAAAACGCATGACATGGTAAAAAGTACAAGTCTTTGTCCTAAACATATTTATTTTGTTTTTCCTTTCCAAAAGAAAGTTAAACTGATAGAAAAAGTAGAATTATTGTTCTCTGCACTGCCCCTGCCCTTTTCCTTTCTCTACTTGAAGATCAAATCTCAAGGAAAAAGATGAAGAATGAAAAAGTTGTGTCAAACAAACAGAGTACATAACAAGTGCATAACGAAGTATTATCTATTGGCAAAGACATATTTCTGCATAGTTTGTCCAGTCAAAGGTTTGAACATGTGAACTCTCAACCATCGTGTGAACGAAACCACAAACCAAGTTGAATCATTTGCTAACTTTGCATGCAACAAATGAAATGGTTCAATAAAAATTCCCGGCTTTGATTCATAAGTCTATCAGCGTTGTGTATGGTCCAAAAAACAAACTTCTGTAACCCAATAAACTGTTGAAGTCCAGAAATGAAAGCTGAAATTGTAGTACCTTATTGGACAATAGTGTGGAAGTTTGTCCAAAATCTCCAGCTCTTCAAGTGTAATCTGATCGATCTTGTTGACAACATAGATGCAAGGAATATATACCCTGCTGCCTTCAATGACATCTATGAGGTCATCAGCAGTTGCATCGAACTTAAGATTAATATCAGCATTATGAATTCTGTATTCGCTGCAGATTGCCTTCACAGTTTCAAGGTCCAGATGTGTGTTGGTAACTGTTGATGTAAAATTGATCCCACCCTTATCTTTCCTGCGGAATGTCAGATTTGGTGGTTCCTTGTTTAACCTATTTTCAGGTAAGAAGGAAAAAAAACATCTAATTGTTGAGAGAGGAGTGACGGAATACCAATTCATTTTACAAATACTAAAAGGAGACATTGAGTAAATGAATTAACATGGAATGTTACCTTATGCCAAATCCCTCGAGCTCTTTCTCTATAAGACGTTTGTGAGTAATTGGCTTTATTGCATCTAGAACAATGAGGATAACGTTGCATGTCCGAGAAGTGCTGATGACCTGAACTCAGAGGACCACATTCACGTACCAAGCAAAAGAATAAGATTAAAAACAAGCTAATAACCATATTAACTTTATCATCAAGCTTTAAAGAATACTTGCACCCTAAAAACGATGTCATAAGAAAAAAAATTACAGCATTCTCTCGTAGAGATGATAATTTCGATACCAAACATCTATCTTGTCAATGTCTTTGTCAATAGGTAAGATAAATGGCACTAGGAGCACAGCCTCCATTTGATCAACGCATTTTCATCTATCTTGACAACATTGCCCCTTATTCACCGATTTACAGTCTCATCCATCAAAGGGCTTCAGTTGAATGATCCATGGTTTTACTTTCTTTACAAATTTTCAATTTCAAGTATTTTCATAAAGGTACAGTAGGCAAGACGGTTGGGGGCTTTATTTTCAGTGTAAGAGCATGCTGTTTAGGGGGGTGGACCACAAAGGATTTGGGAAGACCAAAATCAAAGAGAATTACTTTGAATCTCTGATTATAAGTGTTAGGAGAGTTGAAAATTCTCTCCTCTATCCCTTGAGTGTGACATTTAAAGTAGAGATTGTTGGTTGATAGTTGTAGACTTGTGGAGGTGTGATGGTGTTGTAAATTTTATGCCAATGGGGGCCTTCCTCTATGTCTAGCAGCGGTTGTGGTGGCCCAAGGTGGGGAAGAAGGAACCCATGATTTCACACAAAAGTGAAAATTTACCATGGTTGAAAGCTTCTCCAATATATATATTGTGCCAACCAAAATAGGGCATTCAAATTGGGATGGAATGAGTACATTACAGAAGTCCAACCACCATCCACCATCACTGCTACATACAAGCAAAACTAACACCACAGGCAGACAAATAGACACAAAAACAAGAAAACAGCCATCCATGTCGATAATAGATGGGAGAGAGAGTTAAAAAACTACCAAGATAACAATAATAAAATCACCAGCAGCGAGTGTCATATCTTACCTGCCTACCTCTACCCTTGCCATCTTTAGCACCCTCAATAATACCAGGAAGATCCAATAGCTGCCAACAAAAGCAGGAAGAACATCCCAAAGTCAGTACTGAAAAAAGGCACAGGCTGTGATTTGAGAATGTAAATCGTGATGCTGCTATTTCTGACATAAATGTTACATTACATTCCCACAACTATATCTGTCATCATAAGAAAGTTAGCCAGACATATAATTAAAACAATAAATAAATAAAAGATAACAAAGAAAAATGCACACGAGCTAGACATGAGTCAGAAAGACAATTCGAAGGTATGATGAAACATATATAGCATCCAACCGAAAAGAAAGAAAGGAAACCTCAAATTCCTCTAGCCTGCATGGTACATAAATCTTTCTTATCATGCAAACGGAATTTTTAAAATATGCACTTTAAAATTTGTTCTCTCATAGTACAATAAATCATCCATAAATAAACAGAAAGCAGTGATAGTATTGATTTTGGGAACCATCTTCCAATCAAGTTCTTTCTCAATGTAAATGCTAAAACTCAACTGTCATCCCATATTTCTCACTCATTTTAAACTATTCTGAAGCATTAACGGCATCAAGTGCCAAAACAGATAACATACTTTTTTAAGTCTTTAAGGTCTTGTTTAGATAAAGATTATCATCATTACATCTAATGACAAAAAGACCGAAGGAATGCATACCATAGCAATCAATCAGCATGTGTCGGAAGCTTTCAAAAGAAAAGTAAAATACAAAACTGGGCAAATGAGGACCTGAGCAGAAATCAGATCAGATTATATATATGTGCCAACCAATAGTCCTGCTCCTTCACCGTATAGACAAATTTTACTAACAAGGGATCATATAGCAATGTGTTTTAAATGGACATCAGAGGCCAGGGAAGCATTTTTGAAATATCATATATATCACTTGAAGAAGATATATCAACTTTTTTCCAAGAATCAGGCACCTTCAATAAGTAAATGAATAGTTTTGCATCAACCATAGACTCATTAATGGTTCTTAGACTAGAATAGACAACCCAGGGTGCGATTGGAACGGGTTTTTGATTCAACATAGGTAATTCATTGAAAAAGCCAAAGCATGTATGAATAAGACTGGCGTCTTGATTTATGTAAGAGATAAATTTCTTGCTTTAGCTTTGACCCCTAAAAAATATTAACAAACATTGTGATGCTGTTCAGTATAATCTCAGGTCTATGGCTCTCTATGTATTTAAAATTGACATTCATCCACACAAAACAGAAAGAGAGCTCCCACTGAAATCCCAGAGAACATGTGTAATATTCATGCAATATCCTTATGTTTAAGTAAAAAGACTTGAACAACAAAAGCACCTTATGAAACCTTTTCTTAGTTCAAGAAACAACAATACAACCATACCAATAGGATAGGGTAAAACCAAATTGCTCATGGTTCTTGCAATAGTGGCTGAAAGGATACTAAAATTTACTCCTCCAATTACCAAATGATAATACCTGAATTTTAGCACCTCGATACATTATTACACCAGGAATGCAAGTTAATGTAGTAAATTCATATGAAGCAACCTGCAACCACATGCAGAAAGAGCTTTAAGAAAAACTCATTGAAGCTTTGCCAACTCCAGGTTTCACGCACCGAGGTACCATAATCATAAGAGAAATTATAGGTCAAGATAGAACAAGCCTAGAATACAAAAGAAATTAAATCCTACATTCACATAGCCTATAACAGCAATCATAACTATATATAGAGCTTGTTTGGGAGGGATTTTAATCAAATTGAAATTGAAAGTATAGCCGTTATTGGGTCGTACTCGTCTAATAAAAGTCAACAATAACGGCTAGTTTTTCAATTTTAAACATATTTTAATCTCTACCAAGCAAACTCATAGTTAAAAGAACATATCAAGAATTACAAACCTCTGAGAACGTCCCTGTTAATTTGTTTAAAAGTGTTGATTTCCCAACTGAAGGGAAACCCACAAGACCAACTCTCGCATCTCCACTTTTTGTAACGTCAAAACCTTCTCCAGCACCACCACCTCCCTTCGATGAAGGTGTAAGAAGTTCCCTCCGAAGTTTTGCAAGTTTAGCCTACCATCAAAATAATGTAGTAACAAAAAAAAATCAGTTTGGTTGGATACATTAAGAAAGTAAAATTCATCGGCATAAGAAAAGAAGTAAAAGAAAATCAATTTTCTAGAGGTAGATTATCAAGTTTGTTTAGTGAACGAGTTTAAGAATTTATTTTTCAGTATTTGAAAGATAAACTTTTAATCTCGTTATATTGTTTTAAGGTGGATTTTCAAAATGGTTTACATTTTATTTCGACAATATTTTTGTGTTTTCTTTTCAAATTTATTATACTGGTTTGAATCGAGGGCCTACGCCTCGCGTCGCGGAGGTAAGATCATTACTCAATTGAGCCCTTGTAAAATTTGGTTAGCATGATGTGGTTTCAGGCTTTCAATAAAGACCCATGCAAGCAGTTAGATTATTGAAATTAACGAATTCATGCAATTTAGTCATGGTAAAAATGTTCAATGACAACAAGCTGCTTCCTATCAATTCTCAGATTCAACATATGATCATGACAATTTGTATCACTTGATTTAATCACTTGATTTAATTCACACTATATCCATGCAATTTTACAATGATAAGTGTTTTACTTTTCTTTAATAGGAAGGATTATTGTAGTCACCTCATCAGAATCTATAAACAAGTTAATAAAGGCTCGCTAGTATCCAAAAGAGAAAAGTTAGCTCTGCCTGGAAAACAGAATAATATGTATATCCAAGTCTAGAAAAAAAATCATCTTATGGCAAAAGTACAGGCATGATAAAGTATACCTTCAGCAAGCCCAAGTGATGGGCAGTTGCTTTGTTCTTCTGGGTCCTTGACATCTGTGATAGAGTAGAAAATGGATCAGCTGACAAGCTTAAAATGGTCTTTCTTCGGATAATAAAAACATGTCAAACAGTAAATATATAAATAGAACAGCTCAAACTTCACTAATCAAGGTGTCGATAGCCACCAGACATTCATTGGGAAATAGATAGGCAAAACTCTTAAACCCCGTTTTATAGAATGTTCCAGTGAAACTACATTATCACTAAAAAAGCACTTTACGTGAACTTTATTTCCTACGCAGCTTTCCTAAAACCCAGCAATTAGTTGTATTTGCTTATATATAACAAAGAGCAAGTAAAAGAGATCAAATTGTCAGGGGAAAGAAAAATACTATTTTTGCAATATTTTTTTTATTTCCGCTCTTCTTTTGCTACAATCCAAATATAATCAATTTTCGTTTCTTTTTTCCTTTTCCTTCACAAAATACATGAATTGAAACAAGAATCAATTAAAACCTAATCCTACTCAAAACATTTCAACATTAACAACATCACAAACAATAAAAAATCATTTTTTTCTTGATCCATTAGTATTACCTCATCTTCTATGTCTTTGATTTTCTGCATAACAGTCGACATTGTTTCGGGGTTGAAAGCGAGAACCTGTAAACGACGACGTAAAGACTGTGCGAGCCGAAACTTGTGCCGCAGAAGTAGGGTACTAGAGTGTCAGAATTCTTCCGGTTGATATCGGGTACGCCGGCGGGTCAGCCTGTGCTGAATCCGGGTCCGGATTGTTTTCTAGGGGTTTTGTTTCGCTTGGTCACCTAGTCGGGAGCCTCGTAGACTCGCAGTATTGTGTGGGAATGGCTTTCTAAGAGAGTAAAGAAGTTTAAAAAGACATTCTTAGTCACCAAACTTCAAACGTACTTTCGTTTTGGTCATTGAATTTGAGGAAAATTTTCATTTTAATCATTAAACATAAATTTGTTTCATTTAGATAATGAACTTCTATTTTTCGTTCCATTTTGTCGAACCAAATTTTACAGGCATGCATGGGTGGCTTTATCAATTTTATGACTTCGACAACTTTTTAAAGTTGAATTTTGAGTAAGATTTTCGTTTGTGGTGCAAATATATATATAACAGCGATTTAATGTGCCACGAGGATTTGTCTTTTTAAATTTCATTGTTAACTTTGCGGGTTGTCTAAATAGACTTTGCCTAATTTGTCAAGGATGTCAAATGTTTTTTTAGGACTAACTTGCTCTTATCAAAAGGTTTGAGGTCCAACTCTGCTTTACATTGTGTTATATGACAAACAATTTTATCATTAATTTCTCCAACACTTAAAACAATTAATGATCTCGATTTTGCCACATATTCAAATTTCATCCAATGTGTATATAAATAACGTATAAGTAGCATAATTGAAAGATTTATATGTTCAATTTTGTGATGTCCTGACCCTTTTGTCATACGTTTATGCTCATGTACATATTTGTAGCTCTTAATTCAAAATTGGAAATATACTTTGAATTTAATAGTTTCTTCAATGACATGATAATCAGTAATTAATTAGGCTTATGACCTAGTTTGACCAGTCTTAAGCATAATGGTCTTCTTGCTTGGGACTTTATTTAGCGTCTGTCTGTGCGCGATTTTAATCTGCAATAAAATCGATTTTTATTCCGTTGAAGGAAGCAACGATCAGAAAATCACAGAAAGGTGGCTGAATGTGTGACTAAACAAAGTCAAAAAGGGTGGGCGAGTACTGTAGCAACGGTACAAATTTCGATTTTAATTGTGCCCAGACAAGACTTTAGAGTGATTATATTTAGCTCAACTGAGATTGCAATAAGCGAGCTAGATGAAAGGTGGAATTAAATAAATTATTTAATTCCATTTATCATTCAATGTCACATTGGTGCCAACTAAATTGGGGTTGCAACCCCAATGATATTATGTAGCATTACTCATTTATTTATACCTTAGAATAATGCTTTCAGCATCAGTTTATATGACCACACTTAGCCCCTGATTGCACCACATTAAAATTTTAATTTTCATTCTTTTAATCATTTTCAACCACACATTTTTCAATAAAATAATATTTACCATCACATCAATAATTTTTCCTACTTTTTTAACCACACATTCTCTATCAATCTATTATTTCAAAATACATTCTTTCAAAATAATATGGCTCAAACACACCCTTAATAGGTTGTAATTAACATCAATGGTAATGAATAGCAGCACACTGTACCTTAACAAATGCCGCACATCACAGGTGCAAAGCGATCGGATTTGATCCTAATTGGTGCTTAACACCAATAATAATGAATAGCATCTCTTAACAAATGCCCCACTTCATAAGTGCAAAGCAAATGGATTTGATCCTATCAGAGTGGGCTATTCTCAAACTTGTACGAATTGACTGAAGTGTATTGGCAACTTAATGGTCAATTTTAACTAACATCGTCATAGTCGTAATCTCCAAACGAATTTTTCATGGCCACAATATCCTATAATTGCCGATGTTGGCCTTGACAACTTTTGTACTACCATGATGACCCAATTGATACCAATATTAATCTTGGCAAGTTTTTGTAATAGTTAAGCTTGACCCACAAATTATAACAAATTTTAAAAAATGAAACATTTTACTAAATAACTTTAGCAATCTATAATTGCACATCAAGACAGAAGGTCGCCTTCATCTCTTCGAAGTCATTGACGGATACACATATGTGCTTCTATTCGAGTTATAATATTGTCTAGATCACGAGATGCATTTCAATCTAACATATGTTCTTCCATGATAGATCTTATGTCTATAAACTATTTATAAACCAACTGGTGTTGTGAACAAGTTCGACCATACTAGACATTATTGGATTTTGATAACATTGTGCATTCCATCAATGAAGTATATTGTAGAAGTCAGTCATTTCTAATTTCTTGTCCCATGTTGGTGATCCAAGCATATTTCTTTCGTACATTTTGAATTTAGAAAAAGGTAAATCTATGTAGTTTGGATCAGAGTACAAATTACATAATTCTATAATTTTATTTCGTAGCAATGAATATTTTTATTGAACGTAAAATTTAAATTACTTTGAAGTAACTGAAAGCAATGTTTGACCTCGCTTAATTTGAGACGTAATTAGACACTGCAACTAGGGAAAGATAACTTGTACCGGACAAAAAATGTTTTTGAAGGTGTGTTTCCATTGCGATGCATACACGCATAGTGGAGAATCATCGCCCCTATATTGTAAGAAGGCTAAAGAGGATACAACACAACTTAAAATGGGAACGAGATTCTTATTCATATGAGATTAAAAAATATTTAACAAATAATAAAAAAAAAATTGAATATGTATAACTACTCATTATTAGAGCTGTAAATGGATCGGACATGGATTGGATCTGCCTATATCCGATCCGATCCGATAAGAAAATTATCCAATCCGATCCGATAATCCATCGGTTATTTGATGGTTAAATCCATATCCGATTTGTTATATTATCG